GAACGCAGATTTTTTTACGGTTCCATCCTCGCGTCGTGGTCAACGTTTGCCGCGTTTCAGCCCCCCATTCTAAAAGTCTGTTCAACCTGCTCATCCAACCTTGCCAACTTGGTTTTCCTAAGCTCCCTCTCTATTGAGGTCAGCAGTGCCCTGGATAAAGCGATTACTACCATTTTGTCCTGATTATGCGTCAACCTTTACAAGTAACGAATCACTCAGCAAAACCAGGATGAAAATATGTTAGGTTACTGTTTTGACAAAATTGACAATGATTTTACAGAATGAAGAATCAGAAAATCAAAATCATAACTGAATTATACATTATCATAAAGATTGCGAAAGTTAGCATGTCTTCAAACTGGTCTTTTTGATCAGTCGAGATATTTTCATATATTTCTAATCAAAATCAAGGTCAAAAATAGCCATGCGCAGTTACGCAAATGGCACAACCACGAGCGATGGATTTCAGAACGTATGTTCGGGTCTGATGTTCAGATGTTTATGTAAGCGATCAGTAGAATATGGATTCATGAATCTGTCAAATCGATTCAATAATCATTTCTGCTGTTGTGCTCTTCGTGGTATCAGAGTTATTCCAGCATTACTACCTAGGCACTAAGTTGATAAACGAGTCACAGATGGAGTCTGGTTCAATCGAAAACAATAAATCCCTCGTAAGTGTCACGGGCAATACATACAGGCAAACTGTATTTACTCAATTTTTGAGCATTACCTGACAATATGACTAGCACCGAAAGCAAATGAACATCCGCCGGAAACTAACATTTTTAATCCTCAAATGTAGATACAAACCGGTCCATGATGACGTAAATATCTGAACTGACAATGATATTAATCACTTATCACACTGAAGGTATGAAAAGCGCATTCAACCCCATCAGATGAAGCGAATCAACAACACAAGCGCAAAAATCGACCTCCTGTTTAGATGCTTTGTTGAAGACACCATTTTTTATCTTAAACCAAACTTGAACGAAGCACTGTGTTTCAAATGCGATTCTTTGTGACGACTCAATTTGTTGCAATGCCATGGAGCAGCAGCAATGTCATTTACTATTATTCTGTCAGTGATTTTTCCGTAAAAGCTTGAAACCAGGTTTATTACAAATGACGTGGCAAAGAAAATGCGATGCAAAATTTTCGCAGTCATTTACCTCGTTGATAAACTGGTGATTCATCAAAGGTTGAGAGTCCCGTAATGGTCTTCTTGAACCATGACATCAAAATTGAGGAGTTTTCGAAAAGATTTGCATTTTTTAACTTATCCGTTTTGTGTAGATCATGCACTGTCTCAAGCGATTTAAAGGAAAGCAAACAATGCTCTTAAATTAGTCCAATTTATGGTTGTTGGTTTGAGTCACATTAACAACAACACATATTTTAATAACATGGCGGTATTTTTATGGCAGACTTCAGACGTACGTGGTTGAGTTTTATGGAGGTTCATACTTATGGAAATTAACAATTTTTCCTGCAACTGATATCTTCTTCACTTCCGAGTATACAGCATTAATTAGCCTCAAATCAATCAATCAAATGTTGAACTGGTTGTCTCTCATGTTCTATCAATCTTTTTTCTTCCACGGCGTGCAAAGAGGAGATGAGTACAAGCCTCATTGATACTTTTAGAGTGAGCCGTTCATTTTTACCATTGTACGGTTGCTGGGTAACCCTGTTGAACTTTGCTATGATTCCATTTCGCGTAGCGCACACTGTTGACAATGACCAGTGTATCGATGCAATCCTTTGGACAAATTGATTACGCATGGGGCGTGAAAGTTTTGAAATGATGGTCGAAGAATTTTCAGGTCTTTGCTTTCTGAACAAAGAAACCTGATTTGTTACTACTTATTAAAAATCGCTCATATTTTTCATTTCCCTCCAGTCTTCAACGTTTGCTCAAAAGACAGCACGACGAGCCATTTCACCTTACTGTCTTTACTTACATTACCTTATTTCTGCAAAGGAGTCTACTCCTATTCGTTTGTACTGATCTGTAGACAGAAACTTTCAATCAATCATTTTTTATTCCTTTTAAATGGCCAATATAGACCTACAGGTGCTTCAGTGCAGAAGAAGGGAACAAGACGTACTAAAAATGGACCATTTTACGAAAGAGTCCTCAACTCAGACATATTGTCAATGATTGACCGAAGGTATCTGGATAGTAGAATCAGTAGCTGAACGTTTTCTGGTAACATGTTGAGTTTCGGATTCTTTCTCATCGCCTAATGCTTTTCTTCTGCATTATTCATAGCATTGTTTTCTCGTTTGTTTCAAAGTACATGCACTCAAGCAACATGTTTATGTATCAGGAAGATGTCTGAATTCGACCTGTGCGTGACGGTGCCAGTGAAAGACAGCTGTTCACATCACGTGATTTTTGAGCTGTTCCAATCGACCTACGGCTATCTGTGCAGGGATGG